TCAATAAATATCATTTTTTAAAAAAAACACTGACATATGCAAAAATTGCTATACATTGTGACCGAAAAGTTTCCGGAAAATTTTAAATAAAACGCAAAATTCTTAATCTTCATCAATATTTATTTTATCTCCTTCAATATGCTCCATTAGAACGATACACAAATGCCAAACGTTCTTCCAATCATCAAAAACATTATAGGCGCTTTCCGGTATGGCTTTGAGTTCCCTCTGCGAATTCTGTTTTACGTCTTCTATGGATTCAAAACGCGTTCCTCTGAGTGGTAATTTGAGGTTGGGAAACAGGAAAAAGTCACACGGTGCAAGATCAGGTGAATACGGTGGCTGTTCGATGGTATTTATTGAATGTTTGGCCTTAAAATCGTTGATAATGTTGAACAAATTGAGGTGAATCGGAACAAGCCGGGCGTTGACACGTCGCATACACAAATTGTCCACCAAAATCAAACGAGCCATCTCACGACCGATGCCTAGCTCTCGTGCTATCTCTCTAACACTCACATGAGGATTTTTGAACACGATTTCCTTTGCCTTTTCAATGTTTTCGTCGGTGGTAGAGGTCGAAGGTCGTCCAGAACGCGGCATGTCTTCGACGGTCGTACGACAGTCCTGAAAGGCTTTGTACCACTCATAAACTTGAGTTTTCGATAAAACTGATTCCCCATAAGCCTTTTGTAGCATTCGCAACGATTCTGCACACGAAATTTCGTTCGAAAAACAAAATTTGATGCAAACTCTTTGTTCAATATTTTTTTCCATTGTTTTTTTCGCAACGCACTACTGAGGTGAACTGGTTTCAACAGCTGCCGTAAACGAACTGTCTGACAGATCGCGCTCATTTTTGGCATAGTAATTAAGGACAGTGCTGCCAAACTACATAAACTTAAAATATCGAAAAATATACAGCGCGCGAATTTTAAATGAGAATTTCCGAAAGCTTTTCGGTCACAATGTATTATAAATATTGCTGCCCAAAATTTGTCTGACATCTATATTACTGATTATATATTCACCATACTTTCAAAAATCGCAATGCTATATAATTTATCAACATATTTATATTTGAGTTTAGTGAATTTCAGTGAGTTATAATATAAATTTTAATTGGTAATGGGTTTTTACTAGTGACACCATACCTGTAGCAAAAACTGGTACTATGATATTCAGTTGCCTCAGATATTGAGTTGGGTCCATAAGAGAGAATTTTGATGGCTGGGGATGAAACATAAGGGTACGCAAGCCTTTATGCTTTCATTCAATGTTGAGTTGCATTATTCAGACAAGTGCTGTGACCCAAAGAACAACAATAGTTTAATGAGACTTCGATTATCTATTTGGTGGAAGTTATATCCAATCATAATACTTCAATTGGTATTAACGCAACAATTTTCTGAAGGCACTTTAATTGCACATTATCCTTATATGTATGTTATGAAGGTATTTCTATAAGTTTGCTGTCACTGAACTGTATGATACAATTTTTCGTCATCATATAGATATCATATAGTCCATCCATTCGAAAGATATCAATTTTAAACCAATTAAATTTAATGTGTGTGTTTCCATCATATACAGTTGTATGCGCTTTGTAAAGTAAATGGTCGTCGTTGAATCTTAGTATAAATAAATTGTTTGAAAATTACAAGAAAAGGGCTTTACGTTTCAGAGCACAATTAATATATGGCTGAATATACTATATAAATGTGCAACAGAAATTTTTATGCATGCTATATTCGACTTGCAAGCTATAGATTCGCCATTACTGTACTATCTGATATTATTCAACTTTTATCTACATTGATGTTAAAACTATTTAACTAAATTTATAGATTTTTGTCATTTAGAGTTGCATACTGTTTATTAGGTGAATATCTATAGCTTAATATATATGTTCTATTTACTTGTCACGAGTGCAACAATCAACATACGCCCAAAAGCTACCTTTTATTTATTCAAATATTTTAACATAATTCAGAGACTCATACAGTATATTTGTACATATATATACTAAAGGTATATGTGGGGAACAATATGTTTTCAACTCAGTACGACCTAAACAAAATATTAAATTTTTACTATTTTCACTAAGCTTTAAACACACATAAAGAGGGATTTTAAATTATATACTGAGGATACTTATACATATGATGATATATCATAAATCTGTTAAAATCCTGTAGAAAGTTGAATAATAAGATTATGTGTTAAGTAGTGACAATGATAAGCAATTCTTCTTCTGAATGGTTTTTAAAAAGGAAACACACAATTGTTGCATTTCACAATAATAGCACAGTATTTGTATCAATTTCAAGACTGCAATTGGGCTATGTGCAAAAACATCTCTCACAAGCATCTTACGCTTGCAGGAAATGCTGGCTGCTCGAAAACTTAAAACCGTCCTCATTGTTGTCATGTTAACGTAGCTTTTAATGCCACAATGGACTCGTTCGCTACCATTCAGTGCAATTCAGATACGATTCATGTATCTGCAAGCAACAATGCCAAGATACAAAAGGATTTACAGAGTGTCAATACACTTATAATTTCATTTCTCCATACTTTGTGTAATTGTATACAAGAGGAAAGTTTTGCTGTACTCGTATTTTGACGCCAAGCGCCAAATTGCAACCGCACTGAACTTGGCATTCTTTGAGGCACCAAACCGCCAAAAGTGCACCAGTTGCAGTTTGGGTTTTGAATTTCTTCGAAAGTTTGGTTTCTGCGACGAACTTTACGGCACAACTTCAGCTCACTACTTCTGTGAGTTAAGTGAAACACGCTTCAGGAGACCGTAGTCAGTCGGATACGACTTGAGACGTCTCCGAGGTATCGAATTATGACACTTTTAGTGGTTTTTAAAAAGGCAAAACTTTTCATTTGTGCCTGCTGTTTTGATTTGTTTTGTCAAAGTTTCTGCAATGTTTTTTTAAAAGTTCATTTCTTATTTTAAATTTGGCTTATATCGTACTGAGTTTGTTGAGTTTGCTGAGTTTTACACAATTTTGACAATAAAGTTTATCAATAAAATTAAAAGAAAACTTTTTAATTTGATGCATTATTGTCAGCGGAACATTTTTAACACGTACCCAGACGCACAGCAGCAAAAGTTTAAACATGAAATGTTATTTGGACAGAACACACATAATAAATAAATTACATTAAAAACTATTCGGTATCAAGAAATCTGAAGTACAATATGTTTAGATATATTCTATTAAGACAATTTTGCAATTATTTACTAAACAAATTAAATATGTTTACACTTTAGTTAGAATTATTTGAGGTTTATATTTAACAAAATCATTCTCGAAAAGCTACAAATATACTTTATCTCTGAGAAAATTAAACAAGTTTGCAGTTATTTACTAAATAAATTAAATTAAAGTAAAAGATAGTTATTTTAAGATTCTCTTCAACAAATTCATTCTGGAAAAGTTACAAGCTTGCGCTGTCTTCAGAGGTCATGCTATATAGAGATACATGACCATGTCAAATATGGAATTGTTGTTGTCTTTAATCTAAAAAAAATATAAAAAATGAAAGAAATAAAATCACAGTAATGAAGTTTCATGTGTATCGTCACCATTGTGGGAAAATAATCATCGTGATATGATTCGAATAAACATACTAAGCATTTTGAGCCATGACTATTCCACATATGACACTCTATATAAAATAACGTTCCGAAGTTATTAAGAATAACTATAACTATGCTAAATAAGACCGCAGTACAAATGTCATCAACGTGCATAAGACAACATCTCGAAAAGTTCACCAACTTATAAAGATATGAACTTAATAGTTCATCCATTTGCTGATGATATAACAATCGTTTCTTGGAATAGAAGTGCACTTCTCAAGCTATTTAAGAAAATAGAAGCATCAATATTGAGAATTGGCTGACGAATTATTTACGATATATTGAAATGTATGGATATATTTATACATTGTGTTAATATAATTAAACAGTTGTTGCAATTACTTTTATTAATCGCGTCTCGAAAGCTTCCTCAATAAATGAAGTGGTAGGACTGATTGATATACCATTCTCAATGGAGTAAACAGAAAAAGATATTTTAGGTTCAAACCCTTTTAATAATTTTGGGCCATTTTACATATAGTTCTATGTAGTTTATTTACAATTAAATATTTTCGAATTAACTTTAAGGTAAGATTCTGAATATGCGTATGACTATCTCTTACGACCTTATGCTTTAAGCTTTAGAACATGTTCTTGATATAAAAAAAGAATCATAATTACTTAACAGATCATCGCAAATCTTCTACATGTAGACGTTATAGCGATCAGTTATTGTATTAAAATCAATTTCACAAGCTATTTAATTTATTAATTCTAGCAGCATTAGAAATTGGTTTAAAAATTAGCTAGGAAGATATGAAATACATAGTTTATTATAAACCTTAGATAGGCCACATGAAATTTTAATAATATTGAACACACAAAAAATATTGGCCAGATTGCCGCGATAACAAATAATACCAATAAATATTTTTATATCTGAATCTATGTAGATAAGCTCCGTTATGTAAAGGTAGACTACGTTTAAACTTGTTACATTCACTACATACTTATGTATTTGTAATTACTTTGTTACTGGAGTCATAATGATATCATTTAAAATAAATGACCTATGAAGTATTTTTTACTATTATATTTATATATTTTAGTTATAAATGTAATAACTTAGTTTTTTAAGAAAAATATCAAAGCTTGCAGCTAAAAGCTTCACAGAAAAATTTTAATATGTATTCATAATAATAAAAATAAAACAATTTCATTTTTAGCAATTCTTATTTTTGAAATATTTTTTATTAAAAAATAAAATAATTCCTATAGCCAAATAATTACTTCACGAATTATAATTTCACATATAAATAAAATTATTTTAGATACGTACTTTTAAATGAAATCACTTAAATTTATTAATCAAACTTAAATCAAAGCTTATCACAGCATTCCACATTGGCAGTTGTTAACTTTAAAGTAATATAAAATTAACAAAACAAATTAATTTAATTATAATATTCGGAAAGGGACTCATCCTTTGAGGTTAATAATTTTGTTCTTCGCTTCAACGGGTAAACTATTCGCGAATTGTTTCTTCGCTTCTGCTTTGTATTCTGCAATGTTATATTGCGTTTGCTATAAAATATAATAATTTTAATATTTTTTTTTTATTATAAAATAATATTAACAATTTTTGCATATTTATATATTAATGAAAATATGATTGTATTCAAAATTATACTATACTCACATTAAAAGCATCATCGAGTTCGATTTTCATTAAGCGCTGTAAGCCACGGAAATTTCGTCCTAGGATTCTTCCAAACTCATAACGAGAAATGGTGTACCTTTCCGTAGTTGTTGACATTTCTGTGGTGTTCTCTTCATCAGATTCGGATTTCTTAGTAGATAATTATAAAAGTAATTCATAATAATATTAATTGATAATAATTAAAATAATGTTTTAGTTTTAAAAAGTTTTAGTGAGCAAGAGGAAATTATACATATAATAATATATTTTTGATCGGACTACTTTGTATGATGTAGAATATAAGTATATATGTTATTTGTATATACTTTAATAAGCTAATTTTAAAAACGATTAAGGGATCAAGTAAAATTTCTACCTGATCAGGTTACATTAAGATCGTAAGAAAAATAAAGTGATCATGGCACTTAAATCCAATCTGTAGGTTCTCAGATTCGAGAAGATTCAAATATACTTATTACATATTATTGTTTAAAACTATTAGAAAATTTCATTCGAATTCAATAAAAAGTATAAGCTTCGAAATTTTATAAACATTTTGTGGTTAGACTTATATGAGAAGTTTCGAATTTACTTATATACAATTATTTTAAATTATTTAAATATTTTATTACAATTCAAAAAAAAAAGTTTCGAAATATTCAAAGTATTTTGTTATCAACCTATTATATATAAGAATATTCAAATATATCTATTACATATTTTTGTTTTAAACTATTCTAAAATTTATTATTTATATTTTATTTCAATTTAAGAAATAAAATAAGTTTCGAAATATTCAAAGTATTTTGTTATCGACCTATATAAGAAGATTCGAAGATTAAAATATATCTATTACATATTATTGTTTAAAACTTTTCGAAAATTTTATTTGAATTCAATAAAAAGAATAAGTTTTGAAATTTTCAAAGTATTTTCTCTTCAGACTTACATGAGAAGTTACATGCGAAGTTTCGAATATGCTATTCGAAAGGTATTTTGTCTACATACCTACATAAGAAGTTTCCAATATACTTATTATACACAATGGTTTTAAGCTATTCCAAAATTTTATTCAAATTCAAAAAAAGAGTAAGCTTCGAAATATTTAAGATTATTTATCTACAGTCCTATATGAGTAGGTTCGAAGTTTCAAATATACTAATTATATATAATGATTTTAAATTGTTCGAAAATTTTGTTCGAATTCAAAAGAGATAAAAAGGCAGTAAGTCTTAGCACGATTTTAGTATAATAATATTTGCAATTTTTTTTATAAAAAAAAAAAACAATTCATATATTAATAAAAAGTAGAAATAATTATACTTACGGAACTTTCAGTAGTTGGTGGTGGACGCAATGTAGGTTTCATCGGAGCAGGATCACTAAATGCGCTATTGAACATATTATAGACTTCATTTAAACTGTTTTTTGTGTCAATAAATTGCTAGAAATTTAAAATATTTAATTTTTAATATAAAAAATAATATTTATATTTAATTGTAAACTAGACTTACATCAACAACCAAATTTTTAGTGGTGATGACTTTTTGAAAGAAATCCCAAAAAATGCCACGTTTCGTGCGTACTTTTGGTATTAAACTGGCTTCATTTATTTCAGATCCATCCATCAGTTCACTATTTTCATTTTGGATATAATGCGAGGAACTTACAGTTATGGCAACCAACAAGAAAAATATGAGGACTTTTACCACCATGATTATTAGCAGCGTTTTGTCTGTAATTGG